TGAGAGCGTTTCAGGTGTGTGTGTGTTTCACGTGTGTGTGTGAGTGCGTTTCATGTGTGTGAGAGCGTTTCAGGTGTGTGTGTGTTTCACGTGTGTGTGTGTGAGTGCGTTTCATGTGTGTGAGAACGTTTCACGTGTGTGAGTGCGTTTCATGTGTGTGAGAGCGTTTCAGGTGTGTGTGTGAGTGCGTTTCATGTGTGTGTGTGTTTCACGTGTGTGTGTGAGAGCGTTTCATGTGTGTGAGAGCGTTTCAGGTGTGAGAGCGTTTCAGGTGTGTGTGTGAGTGCGTTTCATGTGTGTGAGAGCGTTTCAGGTGTGTGTGTGTTTCACGTGTGTGTGTGAGTGCGTTTCATGTGTGTGAGAGCGTTTCAGGTGTGTGTGTGAGTGCGTTTCATGTGTGTGAGAGCGTTTCAGGTGTGTGTGTGAGTGCGTTTCATGTGTGTGAGAGCGTTTCAGGTGTGAGTGTGTTTCACGTGTGTGTGTGAGTGCGTTTCATGTGTGTGAGAGCGTTTCAGGTGTGTGTGTGAGTGCGTTTCATGTGTGTGAGAGCGTTTCAGGTGTGTGTGTGAGTGCGTTTCATGTGTGTGAGAGCGTTTCAGGTGTGTGTGTGTGTGTGTGTGTGTGAGTGCGTTTCATGTGTGTGAGAGCGTTTCAGGTGTGTGTGTGTTTCACGTGTGTGTGTGTGAGTGCGTTTCATGTGTGTGAGAACGTTTCACGTGTGTGAGTGCGTTTCATGTGTGTGAGAGCGTTTCAGGTGTGTGTGTGAGTGCGTTTCATGTGTGTGTGTGTTTCACGTGTGTGTGTGAGAGCGTTTCATGTGTGTGAGAGCGTTTCAGGTGTGAGAGCGTTTCAGGTGTGTGTGTGAGTGCGTTTCATGTGTGTGAGAGCGTTTCAGGTGTGTGTGTGTTTCACGTGTGTGTGTGAGTGCGTTTCATGTGTGTGAGAGCGTTTCAGGTGTGTGTGTGTTTCACGTGTGTGTGTGAGTGCGTTTCATGTGTGTGAGAACGTTTCACGTGTGTGAGAGCGTTTCAGGTGTGTGAGTGCGTTTCAGGTGTGTGTGTGTGAGTGCGTTTCATGTGTGTGAGAGCGTTTCAGGTGTGTGTGTGTTTCACGTGTGTGTGTGAGTGCGTTTCATGTGTGTGAGAGCGTTTCAGGTGTGTGTGTGTTTCACGTGTGTGTGTGTGAGTGCGTTTCATGTGTGTGAGAGCGTTTCAGGTGTGTGTGTGTTTCACGTGTGTGTGTGTGAGAGCGTTTCATGTGTGTGAGAGCGTTTCAGGTGTGTGTGTGAGTGCGTTTCATGTGTGTGAGAGCGTTTCAGGTGTGTGTGTGTTTCACGTGTGTGTGTGAGTGCGTTTCATGTGTGTGAGAGCGTTTCAGGTGTGTGTGTGTTTCACGTGTGTGTCTGTGAGTGCGTTTCATGTGTGTGAGAACGTTTCACGTGTGTGAGAGCGTTTCAGGTGTGTGAGTGCGTTTCAGGTGTGTGTGTGTGAGTGCGTTTCATATGTATATGTGAATAACTTTGGATTTCATATGTGTGTGAGAGCGTTTCATATGTGCATATGAGAGATTTTTGCATATGTTTGTAAATGATGTTGGTTTCAGTTGTGTGTGTGTGTGAGAGTGTTTCAGTTGTGTGTGTGTGTGAGAGTGTTTCACATGTGTGTGTGTGTGAGAGTATTTCACATGTGTGTGTGTGTGAGAGTGTTTCACATGTGTGTGTGTGAGTGTTTCACAGGTGTGTGTGTGAGTGTTTCACAGGTGTGTGTGAGAGTGTTTCACATGTGTGTGTGAGAGTGTTTCACATGTGTGTGTGTGAGTGTTTCACATGTGTGTGTGAGAGTGTTTCACATGTGTGTGTGTGAGAGTGTTTCACATGTGTGTGAGAGAGAGTGTTTCACATGTGTGTGTGTGAGAGTGTTTCACATGTGTGTGTGAGAGTGTTTCACATGTGTGTGAGAGAGAGTGTTTCAGTTGTGTGTGTGTGAGAGTGTTTCACATGTGTGTGTGAGAGTGTTTCACATGTGTGTGTGTGTGAGAGTGTTTCACATGTGTGTGTGTGAGAGTGTTTCACATGTGTGTGTGTGAGAGTGTTTCACATGTGTGTGTGAGAGTGTTTCACATGTGTGTGTGAGAGTGTTTCACATGTGTGTGTGTGTGTGAGAGTGTTTCACATGTGTGTGAGAGAGAGTGTTTCACATGTGTGTGTGAGAGTGTTTCACATGTGTGTGAGAGAGAGTGTTTCACATGTGTGTGTGTGAGAGTGTTTCACATGTGTGTGTGTGAGAGTGTTTCACATGTGTGTGTGTGAGAGTGTTTCACATGTGTGTGAGAGAGAGTGTTTCACATGTGTGTGTGAGAGTGTTTCACATGTGTGTGTGTGAGAGTGTTTCACATGTGTGTGTGTGAGAGTGTTTCACATGTGTGTGTGAGAGTGTTTCACATGTGTGTGAGAGAGAGTGTTTCACCTGTGTGTGTGAGTGTTTCACATGTGTGTGTGTGAGAGTGTTTCACATGTGTGTGTGAGAGTGTTTCAGTTGTGTGTGTGTGTGTGAGAGTGTTTCACATGTGTGTGTGTGAGAGTGTTTCACATGTGTGTGTGAGAGTGTTTCACATGTGTGTGTGTGAGAGTGTTTCACATGTGTGTGTGAGAGTGTTTCACATGTGTGTGTGTGAGAGTGTTTCACATGTGTGTGTGTGAGAGTGTTTCACATGTGTGTGTGTGAGAGTGTTTCACATGTGTGTGTGTGTGAGAGTGTTTCACATGTGTGAGAGAGAGTGTTTCACATGTGTGTGTGTGAGAGTGTTTCACATGTGTGTGTGAGAGTGTTTCACATGTGTGTGTGTGAGAGTGTTTCACATGTGTCTGTGAGAGTGTTTCACATGTGTGTGTGAGAGTGTTTCACATGTGTGTGTGTGAGAGTGTTTCACATGTGTGTGTGAGAGTGTTTCAGTTGTGTGTGTGTGAGAGTGTTTCACATGTGTGAGAGAGAGTGTTTCACATGTGTGTGTGTGAGAGTGTTTCACATGTGTGTGTGAGAGTGTTTCAGTTGTGTGTGTGTGAGAGTGTTTCACATGTGTGTGTGAGAGCGTTTCATGTGTGTGTGTGTGAGAGTGTATCACATGTGTGTGTGAGAGTGTTTCACATGTGTGTGTGTGAGAGTGTATCACATGTGTGTGTGTGAGAGTGTTTCACATGTGTGTGTGAGAGCGTTTCATGTGTGTGTGTGTGAGAGTGTATCACATGTGTGTGTGTGAGAGTGTTTCACATGTGTGTGTGTGAGAGTGTATCACATGTGTGTGTGTGAGAGTGTTTCACATGTGTGTGAGAGAGAGTGTTTCACATGTGTGTGTGTGAGTGTTTCACATGTGTGTGTGTGAGAGTGTTTCACATGTGTGTGTGAGAGTGTTTCACATGTGTGTGTGAGAGTGTTTCACATGTGTGTGTGAGAGTGTTTCACATGTGTGTGTGTGAGAGTGTTTCACATGTGTGTGTGTGAGAGTGTTTCACATGTGTGTGTGTGAGAGTGTTTCACATGTGTGTGTGTGAGAGTGTTTCACATGTGTGTGTGTGAGAGTGTTTCACATGTGTGTGTGTGTGAGAGTGTTTCACATGTGTGTGAGAGTGTTTCACATGTGTGTGTGTGAGAGTGTTTCACATGTGTGTGTGAGAGTGTTTCACATGTGTGTGAGAGTGTTTCACATGTGTGTGTGAGAGTGTTTCACATGTGTGTGTTTGAGAGTGTTTCACATGTGTGTGTGTGAGAGTGTTTCACATGTGTGTGTGTGAGAGTGTTTCACATGTGTGTGTGTGAGAGTGTTTCACATGTGTGTGTGTGAGAGTGTTTCACATGTGTGTGTGTGAGAGTGTGTCACATGTGTGTGTGAGAGTGTTTCACATGTGTGTGTGTGAGAGTGTTTCACATGTGTGTGTGAGAGTGTGTCACATGTGTGTGTGAGAGTGTTTCACATGTGTGTGTGAACGGTATTTCTGAGTAATGTCCCTAGCGGCCCCTCATACTTATAGTCCTATTGAAAATTGTTCGCTGAGTCAAAAGTGAATTTCACCTTTACCGGCGGCACAGTTCAAATGAAGAACACATGAATGCATCACTAATTATAATCCAGTGATATAATACTGTATATCCCAGGAACCCAGTACTTCTACAGAGTATTTATACACTGTAGTAGTATTACTACTTTTACTGCAGTAACAGACCTGAGTACTGGTGGTAACACGTGTGATTGATTTGACGTCAGACGGTCAGTCATGTGTGTGTGTGGGGGGGGGGGGGGGTCTCACTCCTGCAGAGAACACAGAGACACGGAGGAACCAGGGGGGGGGGGGGGGGGGGGTCTCACTCCTGCAGAGAACACAGAGACACTGAGGAACCAGGGGGGGGGGGGCTCACTCCTGCAGAGAACACAGAGACACTGAGGAACCAGGGGGGGGGGGGGGGGGTCTCACTCCTGCAGAGAACACAGAGACACTGAGGCACCAGGGGGGGGGGGTGGGGGGGGGGGTCTCACTCCTGCAGAGAACACAGAGACACTGAGGAACCAGGGGGGGGGGCGGGGGGTCTCACTCCTGCAGAGAACACAGAGACACTGAGGAACCAGGGGGGGGGGGGGGGGGTCTCACTCCTGCAGAGAACACAGAGACACTGAGGAACCAGGGGGGGGGGTCTCACTCCTGCAGAGAACACAGAGACACTGAGGAACCAGGGGGGGGGGGGGGGGGGGTCTCACTCCTGCAGAGAACACAGAGACACTGAGGAACCAGGGGGGGGGGGGGGGGGGGGGGGTCTCACTCCTGCAGAGAACACAGAGGACACTGAGGAACCAGGGGGGGGGGGTCTCGCTCCTGCAGAGAACACAGAGACACTGAGGAACCAGGGGGGGGGGGGTCTCACTCCTGCAGAGAACACAGAGACACTGAGGAACCAGGGGGGGGGGGCCTCACTCCTGCAGAGAACACAGAGACACTGAGGAACCAGGGGGGGGGGGGTCTCACTCCTGCAGAGAACACAGAGACACTGAGGAACCAGAGAGACCAGGTAACACAAACCCAGCATAGAGAGGTTCAGTGAATGTGGCTCTGGAGGTGTGGAGGTGGGTCAGTGTGTCAGAGGAGACTCTGTAGAAGGAGAGAGAGCCAGCAGGATGATCCAGATACACTGCTACTCTACCAGAGGAGGAGGAGGAGGAGGAGGAGGAGGAGGAGGAGGAGGAGGAGATGCTTGTTCCTCTCTGATTGTGCCTGACAGAGTAACCTCCATCAGAGTAGTCCAGAATCCAGGACTGATCATTGAATCCAAACACACTGTCCCCTCTCTCTCCTTTCCTCCTGATTCCTCTGTAAGTCACTGATACAGAAACCCTTCCTCTCCACTCGACCTCCCAGTAACAGCGACCAGTCAGAGCTTCTCTGCACATCAGCTGAGGCCAGCACTTAAACCTCTCTGGATGATCAGGATAGTTCTGCTCCTCCATCACCCATGTCACCTTCCTGTTGTTGTCAGACAGTGTGAGTTGTCTGTGCACTGTGTTTGAGTCCAGTGTGAGTCCACAGGAATCTGATGAGAGACACAGCAGGTATTAAAGGTTACTAAAGTCCCTGTGATGTCCCAGTGTGAAGATGTTCATGATTAAAAACACACTTACACTTCCTGAGACCTGGCCTCAAGAACCGGACTGCAGCAGGCTCCAGGCTGAAAGCAGAGGGGGGGGGTCAGCATGGAAACATGTCTCACTGGTCAGTTAAGGTACGTTCACACCGGGCGCATCGCCGTTACATGTAAAGTCAATGCAAAGACGCAGATAGGTCCATTTGTATGGATTGAGTGTCAAATGTGCGTGACCCTGTAACTGCTGTGAGTCAGAACACCAGAGCATTCATTCATGTGTTTCACTAACCAGTATCAGTATGTCCTGATTTCACTATCATTTTGAAACCTCTATTACAATTACATCACTGTCAAATATGTTAATATAGTATCTACCATAGCCTCTAGATCAGGGGTCTCCAACCTTTTTTAGGGTGAGGGCTACTTTCAAAAAATAAAACAAGTCGTGAGCTACTTTTTCTCCTCTTTTTTTATTTTTTGCAGTGTATATATTTAGCACATTTTAACATTATGACATGCTGACCTTTAACCTTTGTGTCTGTTTGGGTCTGTGGGACCCCTTCAGTGTTTACTCAAAGAACATGTATGCTATCTCATTATTTTAACATGCTTTATTTGGGGGGGGTCCTCACCTCCTCTAGGGGGGTCCTCACCTCCTCTACGGGGGACCTCACCTCCTCTAGGGGGGTCCTCACCTCCTCTAGGGGGGACCTCACCTCCTCTAGGGGGTCCGGGGGCATGCATCAATCTGGAGCACTCTGAGCCCCAGATGTACACATTGTACACACAAAATAATAAAAAACATATTTGTAAAGTGGGGAACATGTCCCCCCCTGTTCCCAGTGGAAATTACGCCATGCGTGTGTGTGCGTCAAGTGCAATAAATATGCAAGTTACATGTTTTGTATGCCCCAATGGGGCTGATGTGCTGTATAGGCTGCATGATTAGGCTGCTAATGGGGCTGATGTGCTGTATAGGCTGCATGATAGGCTGCTCAATGGGGCTGATGTGCTGTAGAGGCTGCATGATAGGCTGCTCAATGGGGCTGATGTGCTGTTAGGC